AGCTGCTCTTCGCACCTCACGAAGCTTGCGAGCTTGTTCCGAAACCTAACCTTCACAGCACCTACGCCCTATCACAGCAAACCTTAAACCCTAAACCCTAAACCCTAAACCCTAAACCCTAAACCCTAAACCTTAAACCCTAAACCCTAAGCTCTAACCCTAAACCCTAAACCCTAAACCCTAAACCCTAAACCCTAAACCCTAGGCCCTAAGCCCTAAACCCTAAACCCTAAACCTAAACCTTAAACCCTGAAACCTCTGTGTCGTTGTTTGCGAGGCGAACGTTTGGAGTTGGAAGGCGTGGCGGCAGGCCTGCCACTTACCCGGAGAACCCTAAAACCTTTACGAAATCACTGAAACCCTACACACCCTCAACCCTAAACCCTACAACCCTGAAACTCTACAACCCGAAAACCCTGGAAAGATAGAACCCTCAAAACAGAACCCTGAGAGCCTACAAGTTAGGATGTTCCTCCGTATACCAGCAGTCCTTAATGAGAAAAATAGTACCCTCTTTTATCATCCTTACCCAAAAACCAAAGCCCAAAACCCTCAACCCTTAAACTGCCTTAAACCTTAAACCCCAAACCCGCCAGCTCTTCGAGTTCTTTCAGAATGATGACGGCACCGACGGCCGCGCGAAGCTCAGTCCTGCGCGTGCTGGTAGATCTTTGGTTCAGGGTTCAGGGTTTAGGGTTTACGGTATGTGGAGTTTCGGGGCTAGAGTTCAGGGTAAGCTCAGGGTTCTGAAGGTAACCCTACAAGCCTTCCATTCCCTAACCCAAAACTTCAAGCCCCAACTGGGCCCCGGAGGTGGGTTTAGGGTTTAGGGTTTAGGGGTTAGGGGTTAGGGCTTAGCATTTAGGGGTTAGGTTTTCGGCTTTAGGATTACAGTTTAGGATGTCTAAGGGTTTCGGCTAAGTCTAGGTCGCTCGCATTGGCTACTCTCTATGGATTGTTAGGACCAATACAATACTAGAATCAAGAGCGTCAGAAGGGTTCACAATTGAACAAAGCTTGAAAAAGGTCAGCACAAGGGTCAGAAGAACGTTTGCTACCACGAAGGGTTTTTTGCGATGTTTGATCTGACCTGACATTTTTCCCGGTGACATTTCTGAGCAAGTCGAACATGATTGCTGACGTTTTCGTATGTTACTTTTCCGGACCGTTCCTTACGGTTTTTTTCTAGTAATTTCATGGCTTTCAATTTTTTTGGTTCTGCCAGGGACAAGTACACCCCCTCACCGCCCCCACGCCCTGGCCTGAACCCGGAACCCTAAATCCTTGAACCCCACACCAAACCCCCAAACCCTAAACACTAAACCCTGAACCCTATATCCTAAGCCCATGATGGGCACTTCTAAGGCGACATACGGGTGCGTGCCAAGAAGCGACGGCTCCATGTCAAGAATGAGAGGCCAAAGAGGACGTCGATGAGAAGGCTCGGACTTTAGAATCTTGGGTTTAGGGTTTAGGGTTTAGGGTCTAGGGTGTAGGGGGTTGCAGGTTGGAGCAGGGGATCTTGGGACGGCATTGTTCTGGTCTGAGGTTGTCAAGCCCTGCGAGGTCTTGAGGGTCTGGGTTTTTGGAGGTTTATATCCTAAACCCTAAACCCTAAACCCTAAACCCTAAACCCTAAACCCTAAACCCTAAACCCTAAACCCTAAACCCTAAACCCTAAACCCTAAACCCTAAACCCTAAACCCTAAACCCTAAACCCTAAATCCTAAACCCTATCCATTTCGGGGCCCGAGGTTTCTCTGCTGTGCTCGACGAAAAATGTCTAACCTGAACGCTCAAACACCCACACCCCTACTTTAGGGTTTAGGGTTTAGGGTTTAGGGTTTAGGGTTTAGGGTTTAGGGTTTACTACCCTTACACCTTTAGACCCTTGCCCTAAACCCTACATGCCTAAAAAGCTCAAGCCCTGAACCAACCCTCAACCCCAATCCCTAAACCCTAAACCCTAAACCCGAAACCCTAAACCCTAAACCCTAAACCCTACAAGCTGGCGACAGTCAATCACCAGGTCTAGCCGTTGATGATTCGGAGCGGCGGAGCCAGATCTTTTCGCAGGTAGGGTGTAGGGTGTTTGGGGTTTAGTTGTTTTGTTTTTAGGTCGCAAGCACACGAAAACCCTAACCCTAAAGCCTAACCCCTAAACCCTTGTGAAACTACACCCAGATAGGACCCGCTAGTTAATAGCCGAGGTCGTATCTCCTTTGTTTGTATGAACCACGTTCGCCTGATCGGCAGTAGGGCGGCGGTCCGAAGCAAGCACCCAAAACCCTAAACCCTAAACTCTAAACCCGAAATCCCAAAACCCATACCCTAAACCCTAAATCCTAAACCCTAAACCCTAAACCCTGGTGCCTTCAACCAACCCCCACAGCCTCAAAACCCTACAACCCTAAAGGGTCCGGAGGGTTTCGCCGGGCGCTCTAAGCCTTGAGTGTAGGGGTTTAGGGCCCTAAACACTGAACCTTAAACCCGAAACCTTCAAACTTTAACACCTACAAGCCCTAAGCCCAAAAGATCTAAGCCCTAAGACCAACGAAGCTCCGAAAGCCCAGGCCAAAAGTGCTTTTGAACACGTACTTGCTGCAAGCCTTCAAACCCTAAACCGTCTCAACCGTGTCAACCGTGTCAACCGTGTCAACCGTCTCAACCGTCTCAACCGTCTCAACCCTAAACCCTAAACCCTAAACCCTAAACCCTAAACCCTAAACCCTAAACCCTAAACCCTAAACCCTAAACCCTAAACCCTAAACCCTAAACCCTAAACCCTAAACCCTAAACCCTAAACCCTAAACCCTAAACCCTACCCTACACTTCCGATCGTAAATGTGCAACTTTAGCCGCCTAGATTCGCCACATTTCCTCGGCCCTGCGCTCCAAAATGCCGGCTCGGATGCGGGAGACGTGGAAAGAGGGGTTTAGGGTTTAGGGTTTAGGGTTTGGGGTTTAGGGTTTAGGGTTTAGGGTTCGGGGTAGAGTTCAAGTCTACAGGGAGCTCTTCCGTGTCAACATCTCCAGAAGGCTGCTTTCCAGCATCCGTGCCGGCAGGTCTCCGGCCGGTGAGCACTTGGGATGCTAGTCGTAAGTCTTGAGCGCTACCATTCCGAAGCCCCTAAACCCTAAACCCTGAACCCTAAACCCTAAACCCTAAACCCCAAACCCTAAACCCTGAACCCTAAACCCTTATCCCTAAACCCGAAACGCTAAACGCTCGACCTTGAACTTCAGCCTTTCAGCCCCTGGAGCCTGATCTCGTCATCAATTTGGGAGAATGGTTCATGCCACCCTGGGGCCCTATATGGGTCTAGGGTTTAGGGTTTAGGGTTTAGGGTTTAGGGATATAGACACATGTGGGCATGGTTGTGGCATACCACCCGGCTAAGCCCTGAACCCTGCACCCAAATTCTACAAACCTATTGCTGGGACAGCAGGACCCTAAGCCCCAAAGCCCAACAAAACGAAGTGCAGAGCCTCGGTGCTTCATTGTGGCGGTTCTACGAAACAGTTTCTGCTTTTCTGGCTTCTTTAGGCTTAGGGTGTTTTAGGGTTATTGAGGTTTTTTAAACGGGATTTTAGGGTTTTCGCTCTTTAGCTGCTATTCTTTGAGGGTTGAGGCTAAGGCCTGGGGGCCTGGGGTCGAGCTTATAGTGTGGGGGCTCTACATAGACTGTGCAAGCATGGCCGAGCGCGCGGGAGTCGAAACACCCAAAGGGTTTGATTTCAAAGGCCTTGGCAAAGGCCTCAACGTGCCTGGTGGGCGACCAGCCAGGCTTTGCCATATGTTATGTTTCCAGGACGTGTAGAGGTCTGATGGTGCTTCTCCTTCCTACGAACACACGCACAGAGATGCAGCTAGGCTGACACGTGCCTGGGAAGTTCAACATCGGGCCTTATCGACCCAACCCTACATCCTACGCCTCAAAACCTAACCAGCCAGGAGGGTGTTTGCTGAATGTCGGGGCTCTGCGGTTCGCGGGCAGTGCATCAGCCTTTTTGAGACAAGGAGCGAAGCGAGAAGCCCAAACTCTAAAATAATATCCCCAAGCCCTAAGCCATGTAAAACAACAATAAGCACAACAAAAAGGCAATAATACGTAGTAATACTAGCAATCATAAGCAATAATCCGTAGTAATACTAGCAATCATACGAAGAACAAAAATTCCAAGCCAGCGGGGTGCATTTCAGAGACCAGCTGAAGGAGGATGTGCCGCTCAAGGCCTGTGACAGGGACCTCCGAGTCCCTAGGCCTTTAGGACTTGGAGTGGCTTCGGGTTTAGGGTTTAGGGTTTAGGGTTTAGATAGCCCTAAACCCCATATTCTAAGTCCTAAACCCTCAGCCCTAGAACGCGATCTTGTGCCAGCGCTGCCACTTCAGGCAAGGCGGAGGGGCGAAGAGAAGCCGGGAGAGACTGCACACGTCGGAGATTCGGGCTTGTTGGTTGTTTAGGGTTCAGGGTGTAGGGTTTAGGGCTTTCAGGTTTGGGTTTAGGGTTTAGGGTTTAGGGTTTAGGGTAAACCAAGCCCTAAACCCTAGACCCCAGAACCTAAACCCTAAACCCCAAGTCGTAAAACCTAAAACGCTAAACCGGGATACGCCGGTTCATGGGGGGATGCCTACAAAACCTTTGGGAAGCTTAGGGAGCCTTGTGGAGTAGTGGGGGGTATTGGGGAACCTTGAGCTATGCCTGGCCCAGGAAGAGCCTGGTCTAGGGCTTAAGCCTAAAGAATGCCTCCAGTGTGCAGCATGTGCCCTTCAAGCTTGCAGCCCTCATAGTTCACATCGGTGAGACCGCTATCTCCGGCCACTATAGGAGTGTCTTGATTTTGGACGCTGCAAGAAGGTACTACACGGATGATGGTCGTACTGCGAACCTTATTGCTGATGCGGAGTGGTCTGAATGTCTACATTGCCTTCTTTCAACGTGTGTAGCAACGAAGTGGCGTCTGTATACCAGTTGCTACGTTAGCCGTTTGGCTGCTTATGGGCTCCTCGGAGCGGGTCACTCGAGAAGGTGAGTTGATCCTTAGATTCAAGTGGAGTATGCACCAGGAAGCTGTCCTGCAAACAGGCGGTAGTATAGGCAAGACGCCCAACAGTTGGCGGTCAGGAGCTACTGTGCTGCGCAGGAAGTGAAAAAGCATATACATGTAAGCGAATATTTGAACAAGTCTCGGGTAGAAGGGCTGTTTTTTGCGGTAGTCGGTTCACCCTTCCGGCCCTCTGTCCTAGTATCCCTAAACCCTAAGGTTTGGGGTGTCGGGTTTGGGTTCAGGGTCTTGGGTAGCCTGAACGCTACAACCCTTCACCCGCAACCCCTGGATGCCCTCTGAGTCAGCAGCGTAGAGCAGAGACGGCCCTGCCGTGGAATCTGGTGGCGATGGCGCCAAGGTTGCATTTTGGTGCTTGGGACCTTGTTTGAAACCCTAAACCCCAACCCCCCCAACCCTCTAAACGCTAAAACCCTACACCCTAAACCCTAAACCCTAAACCCTAAACCCTAAACCCTAAACCCTAAACCCTAAACCCTAGAATGCAAACCTCCAACCCTAAACCCAAAATCCTGCTGGTATGGGCCCCCCTATACTCCAAGGGCCCGGCTCAACCCGAAGGCCCTAAAGCCCTTACTAGCCGTACATTCCGATTCCTTAAACATGTCCATGGACCCAAGTTACCTGGGACAGCACGACACCCTACAGCATGGTTTAGGGGGGGTTTAGGGTTTAGGGTTTAGGGTTTAGGGTTTAGGGTTTAGGGTTTCTCTAAGAACAATCCCCAACCTTGAAGGATTTCTGATGTCTCCAGCAGTGCCTAAACCCAGGAGAGTTCGGGTACTGGGTACCGCGAGCCCTAAGCTCTAAACCCTTTTTAGACTGCAGAAGGACGCCAGGTGGCATGTTCCAGCGCGCCTTGTGATCCCACTAGCTGCTGAAATTAAACCCCCTAGGCCCGAAATCCAAACACCAAATCCCAGCCCCCCAAGCCCTAAACCCTAAACCCTAAACCCTAAACCCTAAACCCCTAAACCCCTAAACCCCTAAACCCCTAAACCCTAAACCCTAAACCCTAAACCCTAAACCCTAAACCCTAAACCCTTTCACACGAACCCTGAACCCCCTGTTAAGGGCGTATGTTGGACATTCAGGGGATGCGCGACATATTGCAAGGTGTCCACAAAGCCCCAAATAGAGCTTTGGTATTCGGGTTTTCGGGTTTAGGGATTTCGGGTTTAGAGTTTAGGGTTTAGAGTTTAGGGTTTAGAGTTTAGGGTTTAGGGTGTAGGGTTTAGGGATTTAGGGTTTAGGGTTTTGGGTATAGGGGTTAGGGATTTAGGACCCAGAGGCTTAGGGGTTTGGGATTTGGTCCCGGGGTTTCGGGTTCATGGGTCGAAGGGTTTGCGGTTCAGGGTTTGATCTGGCTTCAGGCGCCTACACCGGGTACACTTCGCCCAGGACCGGGCTTTTGCCTGCAGGCGGATTGGGGTTCCAAACCCAAAGCACCAAAACCCCAGCGGGTGCAGAGCGTAGGGTTTGGGGGGTTTAGGGTTTGGGGGGTTTAGGGTTTAGGGTTTGGGGGGTTTAGGGTTTAGGGTTTGGGGTTTGGGGTTTGGGGTTTAGGGTTTAGGGTTTAGGGTCTGCTAGGACCCCGAGTTGCCGCCTTCTTCCCTTTTCTTGAGCAAGAAAAGTGTTCGGGCCTCCGGGTTTAGGGTTCGAGGCTTTGCCGCCGTGCCCGGCATCCTAACCTCTCCGGCCCAACCTTAAGAGTGGCCTCCCCCCCCCAAGCCTCATGTGCAGGCCAAGAGCAGCGGGAGTCCCCCTGGCCGATGGTGACCTGCCAGAGCAAAAGCAAGTTATTCCTGCATCTCCTCGTTCGTTTCCACCATGAAATGGCTTCTGAACAGGTCCCCAAACCCTAAGCCCTAAGCCCTAAGCCCTAAGCCCTAACCCTGAGCCCTGAGCCCTAAGCCCTAAGCCCTAAACCGAAAGCGCTAAACCCCAAAGAGAGGAAGTTCTGTGGAGAAGTTGGTTGCAAAATGAAGTAAGTTTCCGGGTTTAGGGTTTCAGGTTTAGGGTTTAGGGTTCAGGGATTAGGGGCCATGAGTATCCCCAAACGAACACCCAATAGATACACTGACCAAGACTTATAAGAAACCCCTTATATACACACAAATCAACCCTGTTTCAAGCGAGACAGGAAGGTTCGAGAAGACAAAAAGCCATGACAAATACAATGCCCTTATGGCGAGACATTTGCTTCAACCGCTTGTTGTTCAGTTTTAAGTTGTCCAGAGTTTTTAGATGATCAGGACTTCGGGCGTCCTCATATAACCCCTACATGTGCCTTATATAGTCCCTATATACATAAGTAACCCCTAAATAACCCCGAAACAATCCCTAAGGTTTCTTATAAGAGTCCCTCCTTTAGTCCCTTGACTTAAATCTTCTGAGGTTCCTAGTAATCCCTAAGGTCCCTTCTAAGAGTCCCTCCTTTAAAACCCTAAACCCCAAACCCCAAACCCTAAACCCTAAAACCTAAAATCTAAGAGTCCCTTGGCTTAAATCTTCTGAGGTTCCTTAACATGACGACGCACAAGCTTGTGGAGATGCCTCGCGCCTACTCTGGCCAGAAGGCCTCCGGGGGTTCTGAGAGTTTGTTGTTTAGGGTTTAGGGTTTAGGGTTTAGGGTTTAGGGTTTAGGGTTTAGGGTTTAGGGTTTAGGGTTTAGGGTTCAGGGTTCAGGGTTTAGGGTTTAGGGTTTAGGGTTTAGGGTTTAGGGTTTAGGGTTTAGGGTTTAGGGTTTAGGGTTTAGGGTTTAGGGTTTGTTTTAGGGTTTGGCTACTGGGCCGCCAAGAACACTATAAGAATACTGTGAACCTTAACTTTTCAATAAACCTAAAACACCCCAAACCATACAATCTATGCCCTGAATGAGGGCGTCTGCCGGATTTCAGTTGGGCATGTGTTCCCGAATCCCTAACCCTACACCCTGAACCCCTACACCTCTACCTTTTGTTCCAGGTTGGGTTGATGTCGATGTGATTTTGGGCTACCACCGTAAAGCTAGGGTTTAGGTTTAGGGTTTAGTAATTTAGGGTTTAGGGGCCCTGAAATCTAGGGTTTAAGGTTTAGGGTTTAGGATCCAAGCCTGCACCCTCAACCCTGCACCCTGCACCCTGCACCCTGAACTCTGAACCCTGAACCCTGAACCCTCAACCCTCAACCCTCAACCTTCAACCCTCAACCCTCAACCCTCAACCCTAAACCCTAAACCCTAAACCCCAGCACCACTGCCAGGTGACCAAGGATTGGATTCTCACGCATGGCATCGCCAACATGCAGGTGGGCAGGTTAGAGGGTTTAGGGTTTAGGGTTTAGGGTTCGTGGGGAACCTTAGGGAAGCTTCGGGAGCCTTTAGCGAGTAGTTGGTCCACGGCACGTACACGGCCGTGGCTGATCAGAGACATGCTCAGATCGAGGGGAAGTGCACGGCGTATTGGTTTTTACAATATATTCGTCCTTCGGGTGTAAAAAAGACCCCAAAAATGTGTTAAGAATCCCGCGAAAACTACTTGGGAATTCGCACAAGATTCATACTTATGTGCTTCATGGCTCATGTGTGAGTGTGAAAAGATCAAGAACCTGAAGGTTTTCTTTCAGCAGGTCGCTGAACTCAGAATCGCAAATCGCTGTAAATACCAGTGTTTTGGGCATGGTCGCCAAAAGCATGGACGCTTGCGACAGCGTGTCTTGTTCTACATCCTTGCGCAGTATGTTGTACAAAGTGATGAAAACGCTGTAAATGCCAGGGTTTTTGGCATAGGCGCAAGATGAATGACGTTCTTATCCCCCCCCTCCCCCCGCTTAAACCACAGATAAACCCCAAAAAATGGACTTGAACCCACGGCCGTGTACTCGCCGTGCTCCGAGTAGTTGGGAGTTAGGGGACCTTGGGTTACAAACCCCCCCCCCCCACCCCCCCCACGTGACCCCCCCCCCCCCCCCCCCCCCCCCCCCCCCCCCCCCCCCCTAAGAACCCACCCTATAAGCAGGTGTCCAGTTGAGGGTTCAGGGTTATGGATTCAGGGTGCAAAGGGTTTAGGGTTTAGGGAAGGGTTCTGGTTCAGTGTCTATGAGGTTCAGGGAAGGGCTGTCAGGGTTACCATCCGAGCCCTCATCCCTACACCCCTAACTGGAAAGGTTTAGGATCTTCGGGCTTCAAGTGTTATTAGAGGGCTTGAGGTGCAGGGTCAAGGGTTTTCAGGGCTTCAGATTTAGGGGTCTAGGGTTCAGGGTTTAGGGTTTTGGGCTTAGGAATGAGGGCCTCGGAAGCCCTTCTCGAAACTAAACAACCCCTTGAGCTCCAGACTTTTGGAAGCCTAAGACCCCAAAACTACCCCAACAGCTGTAGGCCCTAAACCCTGAACTCCAGAAGCTTTGTGGCTCGGGCCGAAATGGCCTGCGCGGGCTCCGCTCGCCACGTCGAGAAGCCTGCGTAAGGCAGACGCACGGCATGATCAGCTTCCGCCTCACGTGAAGAACTCAAGACCCTAAACCCTAGACCCTAGACCCTAGACCCTAAACCCTAAACCCTAAACCCTAAACCCTTAACCCTAAACCCTAAACCCTAAAGAAGAATTCCAGGAAGAAGAGGACAGGCCAAAGGGATTGACAAAAATGCCGATGACCTTGCTTTGGGCGCCATGCAGAAGCTTTGCGGCTTGGGAGATAAGACAAGAACCCTAAACCCTAAACCCTAAACCCTAAACCCTAAACCCTAAACCCTAAACCCTAAACCCTAAACCCTAAACCCTAAACCCTAAACCCTAAACCCTAAACCCTAAAACCAAAACCCTAAACCCTAAACCCTAAACCCTAAACCCTAAACCCTAAACCCTAAACCCTAAACCCTAAACCCTAAACCCTAAACCCTAAACCCTAAACCCTAAACCCTAAACCCTACACCTAAACCCTAAACCCTAAACCCTAAACCCTAAACCCTAAACCCTAAACCCTAAACCCTAAACCCTAAACCCTAAACCCTAAACCCTAAACCCTAAACCCTAAACCCTAAACCCTAAACCCTAAACCCTAAACCCTAACCCTACACCCTAAACCCTAAACCCTAAACCCTAAACCCTAAACCCTAAACCCTAAACCCTAAACCCTAAACCCTAAACCCTAAACCCTAAACCCTAAACCCTAAACCCTAAACCCTAAGCCCTAAACCCTAAACCCTAAACAGCTAAAGCAGCCTTCAACCCAAATCAACCCTCCTGGACACCCTCCTGCAAACCCTGCTAGAAACCCCCCTAGAAACCCTAGACGCTCTAGAACCACCGAAGCCCCAAAACACCGCACAATTTTGCAATCAGAAAGAGCCGGGCCGGGCCGGGAACAAAGAGCCCCAACACCCGAAACCCTAAATAGTCCCTGAGTCCCTAAACCCTAAACCCGAAACCCTAAACCCTAAAACCCTTAAGGGTTCAAACCTCAACCCAGGTGCCCTTCGACATGGGCTCCTTCCGATGCCTCGCTGCACTGGGGTTTGAGGGTTTCAGGGTGTGGGGTTCGGGGGTTTTAGGCCTTAGGGTTTAGGGTTTAGGGTTTAGCGTTGAGGTCTAAGTTTGGGGTGTAAACGTCGTGGCTTTAGCATCTAGGGGTTCAGGGTTTTGGTGTTTTTGGGGTTTCGGGGGTTTAGGGATTTGGGGATCGGGTTTATGCCATGAGGGGCTGTGGGGTTCAAGGCTGAGGGGTTTAGCTTCAGTGATCAGTATGCAGGGTCCAGGATGCAGGGCCAGTTTAGGGTGTAGGGTTTAGAGCTTGGGGTGGGTTTAGGAATTTTTTCGGCTCTAGGAAGGGAGGGGGTTGAGGGGCTTTGTGTTGAGGGTTCAGGGCTTGAATGCTGAGAGGATAGATTTAGCGGCATCTTCTGGGGTGCAAGCTTCGCATCGCTGCAGTGAGGGTGCGGATGTTGGCGGGGCCAACGTCGTGGACCTGACTTTCTCCGCACGAGAGCTCGCGTGTTGCTGGAACGGAAAACTTGCCAGTCTGTGTCACTTGCCCCAGACGCGTAGTTTTCCCGCGCACGCGAGCCACCTCCGATAGTTCTGCGTTCTGGAGTCCGGGTCAGCGTTCGGCGAGAGCCTCCATCCTCGGTCTTTCTACCACGCCAGTGCAGAGACGAGTGGCCTTGCCGATCGCAGACGTGCTCCTGCACTGCTGCAGCACGCTGTCGTCCCCTGACTTGCACATGGATCAACGCACGTGTGTGTATTTGGGGCGGGAAACAGGCGGCGTGCTGGAACTTGCAGTGGTGCTAGAACAGGCTAGTCGGCTTCTTCGAAACAGTGACATGATGTGACATGGTGGTCGGGCAAGAATTTCAACGCCTCCTTCCTGCTGCCGGAGCGCATCCTTTCTCTCAAGCTGCCAGGGCATCTGCGGCACGGACACAGGCGCCCGGCTCGATCGCCTGACGCAAAGGGCCGGCGACCGCGTGCTCATCTTGAGGCGAATGTGGCTGTCCCTGATCTTGCAAGGCCAGAAAACCCTGGAGTTGCGAGATCGTCGTGCTCGAGTCGGGTGGATCTGGCAAGGGCCGAGCAAGAGTCGTGGCCTGCCAGGAACTGACCCAGGCGACCTTCGCAGCATATTTCCCGCAGCGCAAGTTTCACGGGGTAGAGACTATGTATCAACACACATGGGCCTTTTGGCTTGTAGACGTTGAGGCAATCTCCGAACCCGTTCAGTTCTTCAAGCCATGGGGGCCTGTGGCTTGGGGGCCGTCTATCGGCGCGAAAGGTGGCCGCGGTGGCTGTGCTGCAGCAAAGAAGGGTGTCGCGGCGAGAGGCTCCTTGGACAAGGAGGTTGGATTGCCAACCTGGGCAACACGTGCTTTCTCAACTCGATCCTGCAAGCTATTTTGCACATTCCCGACGTAGAAAGGATTTTCAAGGCAAAAACACCCTCCGCGTGCCGGAGAGAGACTCGCCCGTCCAGCCGAGTTGCAAAAGTGATCAAGCAGAACTCTAGACCTAAGTCCTCAGCCAATCCCTGAACCCGAAACCCTAAGCCAATGGAACGCATAGCCTACAGCCTTTCTCGAAATCGTCGTTTAACACCTAAGCCCTATACTGGAGCCAGCTGCTGTGCTGCAAGCAGCAGTGTGCGATACCGCATGGCGCCGAGCAGGCCCCTCAACCTCACGAAACTCCGCCTGACATTTCCTCGGAGGGGAGTGGAGGTTGCAGGAGACTCCCCCCGAGATTTATTTTAGACTTATCCTAGACTTTTCCCAGACTTCGTTTTGACTCTCTTCAGGACTTTTTGAAGACTTTTTTTTTTACTTTTGAAAGCCCTGGTTTTTGAAGAGGACTTTTCAAAAATACTTTTAAAAGATTTTTTCGACTTTTGCTAATTTCCTTCGGCGATAGTATTAACTATATACCAACGACATAGCCCTAACACCCGAACGAGTGGACGGATCCGCCTGCAGGCGCCGGCGAAGCTACGCAAGATGCGCGATGAGCTAAGCGGAAGGCTACGCAGCGCTCGAACACAGGAAGACGAAGTAGGCACAAAAAGGGACATTCATGGAAGCCGGCCGAAAAACGCATGTACTTGCTGGCGTGCGATCATTGCCGGGAGTGGCGAGCCTAGGAACGGAAGCAGAAGGCGCAAGGCCGCGCGGGCGTCGGTCGAACAGAGGATAGGCCTGCGTGTCGCGCGTGTTCTCGGGTCCGTGGGGTGAGCCAGGCTTAGCGTGGCGGTCGATCCGTGGCTCACGCTGCGGAGGCGCTTGGGTTTTGGGCTGAAGATGTAGGATTCAAGTGCAGTGGAGCAGCAGACTGAGGCAGAAATTGTGGGTGTGTGAGAACGTGATTGGAGGGCTGGTTTGTTGTTCCGTAATGTTGGACCTGCATTAATAATGTAACCCACCCCCCCAACAGACGAGGACCCTAAATTAAAAAAAACCCAAACAGTCATGCAGGGAAGGGGTCAGGAGATTGAGTTGTTCAGTCTTTTGAACCATTAAAAAAAACAGTCCCGGCCCGAAAACTTTTCATTATGGCGGGCCGCCAAAACATAGGGTCAAGATGCTGAATAGCCGGAAAACTTTCATAGTAGCGTCCCACTTGAATATTGCGGGTGCAACATTATTTGGCCGAGAAACGCCTTCTAAATGTATGACCGATGGCTTTTGCGGAGTAAGCCTTATAGCTGAAAAAGGTTGAGATGTGGGCGGTCCGGGGTTGGGGGGCTCGCTGAATGAATTGCGTGCCGCTGTGGCCTTTGAAGTTGAAGCATGCTGGGGCTTAGCTAGGCCCAGGCCCTTGAAGGCTTAGGAGGTGTTAGAGCCCGGGTCTAGGATTTCAGGGTTGAAGGTGTAGGGTTTGAGGGAGCTTTTGAAGTTGTACCCTAAACCCTGAACCCTATGTTCTCGGTGTTGAAAGTTCAAGGAGACCAGGGGCTGTGTCAACTCAGGAAAGGTGAAAGGCGAGCGTGCAGAGGGGGCGCGGCACACGACGTGGTGCATCGACACTGGGCTTGACCCTGATTTGCCACATTTCTTGGGTTGAGGTTTGGGGCACATAGGGCTTAGGGTTTCAGGTTCGGCTTTAGGGCAATGGAGCGAGCACTTGCTTATCTTGCAGCAGGTTTGGCTTTGCAGGAGGAACTGCTTGTGACAGACATGTATCAAAGCGATGGGCCCTCCCAAAGCGATGCATTCCATATTCGAGTGGGCATATCCCAAAGTCCCAAAGACGGTAAGGCTCCCCAAAGCAGTGCTTATTGGCAGTTGCATAAAGACGTTTCGAGACGGCTCACGTGGGCGTACAGGTTTTGCAAGCTTTTCAGGGCAAAGGACTGCGGCTTCGGGCCGTGTAGGGTATAGGATCTTTCGTGTTTAAGGCTTTGCATGTAGGATATACGAGGGTGGTGCCAGGGGACTCACCGCCCCCCCCCCCCTCAGATTAGAAGGGCCCAGTAAAACTTAAGACCTAAGAGGCGTAAGCCCTAAGCCTTAAGCCCTACACCCTGCGAGGCCTCAACCCTGTTTAGAGAGGACGCCCAGTCGTACCCTTACTCCCACGTTCTTTTGGGGGGGGGGGGCGTGTTGGGATCCTTTGTCAACTTGACTAGACAACACACTACATTTTCTCTCCTAGGTTTCTCAGGTTTCTGGCAGGCTGGGGAACCCCAAGCCTCCTTTATTAAAATTACGGGGTTTAGGGTTTAGGGTTTAGGGTTTAAGGTTTAGGGTTTAGGATTTAGGGTCTAGGTTTTAGGCAATGGGGGCAGCTGGGTTAAGGCTTGGGGTGTTCATTTTTTGTGTGCGGGAGTTGCCGAGGATGTCGTCTTCAACCCTCTCATCGTGCAGCTCTTCATCGACGACGCCTTCTGCAACGCCATGGACCGCCACTGTTTGGGGTTGTTAGAACTGTAAACCCTAAACCCTAAACCCTAAACCCTAAGCCCTAAACCCTAAGCCCTAAACCCTAAACCCTAAGCTTCAAACCCTACGCCCTAAACCCTAGACCTTGGACCCTAGACCCTAGACCCTAGACCCTAGACCCTAAACCCTAAACCCTAAACCCCCAACCGTAAATCAGGATCTTCACCTTCCGAGAAGTGCGCACACAGAGCTGTTTCAAGATAACCTCGGCGGCCAACGGGTTTAGCCTCAAGCACAAACACCAAACCTGAAGCTCCAACCCCTCAGCCAAAACCAGATTCTCGAATCCGTTTTTGCGGTTTCAGGGTTTCTTGGTCTTTCAAGGTTTTGGGGAATTAAGGTTCGGGGTTTAGGGGTTCTAGGGTTTCTTAGGGTGTTGGGGGGTTTTAGGGACAAAGTGATGTAGGGCTTAAGGGTTTTGAGGGTGGACCTTCAAGGGACTAAAGGGGGGACCCTCATAAGAGACTTTATAGGGGTTCTATAAGGGTCATTTAGGGGGCTACTTAGGTACGTAGGGGACTACAAAAGGTAAAAATTTGGGGGTTATATAGGGGAATAAGATGAAGGGTCTTGTGTAGGGGTCCCTCCTTATACCCCCCCTTAAGACCTTCCTTAGCCAGAACTATCTTTTCACGGTGCGGGGTCTCCCCGAGGCTTGGGGAGCAGAGCACCCGCATTTTGCAAGCTATCCTGTGAACGACATTCTCCGAAGGGTTTAGGGTTTAGGTTTTAGGGTTTAGGGTTTAGGGTTTGGGGTACCTTGTTGGCGTCCTTATTTTAGGGAATCCTACTATTTGGCGTCTATTTTGGAGGAGACCCATTTTCGTAAATCCCCCCAGGGGCATTCCTGTCTAGGGGTTAGGGTTTAGGGCTTCCCCAAACCATAAATCAAGACTCACCACGCTCAATGCGATACCTTTAAATACCCTAATGCCCTGATGCCTTCAAGCCTTTCAAAACCCTAAACTTTCCTAAAGCGCCCGAAAGTTCTAGTACCCTGATTTCCTAAAACCCGGAACGCGTTTCACGCCCTAAAGGGCCCTCACCTCAGGGTTGCTGTACATTCGGGACCCTCCCGCCACTTACAGGTATCCTTTCGTAACCGAATCCCCGCAACAAAAACCCCTAAGGCCTAAATCCTAAACTCCCCCAAAAGCAGGGTTAAGGGTTTAAGGTTCCGGGTTTAGGGTTTGGAGTTGAAACCCTAAAGCCTAAAACCCGAGGTGCAGCGTTACAGAAATTAAGTTTAAAGGGTACTTAGTTTAGGGTTTAGGGTTTAGGGTTTAGGGTTTAGGGTTTAGGGTTTAGGGTTTAGGGTTCAGGGTTCAGGGTTCAGGGTTCAGGGTTCAGGGTTCAGGGTTGGGGTTTAGGGTTTAGGGTTTAGGGATTAGGGTTGCGCTGGAACAGCTCTCCGTCATCCCAGCCATCTCTGCAGGAGTCTTTCCGGCCCTTTGTCATCGGTCTGACTTTGAAGCGGATAGAGGCAGGGTTTAGGGTTTAGGGTTTAGGGTTTAGGGTTTAGGGTTTAGGGTTTAGGGTTTAGGGTTTAGGGTTTAGGGTTTAGGGTTCAGGGTTTAGGGTTTAGGATTAGAGCTTAGGGTTTTAGGGTGTAGGAACTTCAGATTTGTTTTAGCTTGGAAAGCCAAGGCAAGAACAAAGATGCAATTTTATTTGGTTAGGCTTCAGTCCTGGGGCATTAGTCGTACAGTTGAGTGAACCTACCTGTGCTTCGCAACAGCCGTTGCACTGACCCTAGGCCCTCTACTCAAGAAATCTTGAACATTGAACCTGGGTGTAGGGGTGTAGGGTTTTAGGGTCTTAGGGTTTAGGGGTTTAGGGGTTTAGGGGTTTAGGGGTTTAGGGGTTTAGGGGTTTAGGGGTTGAGGGGTTTATGGATTTGGGGGGCTTAGGGGTTTCGGGGTTTAGGCCTTACGGTAGTTTTGCTTTTTTGATGCGTCGTGCCTGATTGCTGCTAGACTCAAAAAGAAGGAGCCCTAGTGCACCCCATGACCGGGAACGCCAGAGTGAAGTTCGTAGGTATTTTGCAGGAATACATTTGCTCGGGCAGGGGGAGGCCGGAGGCCCCAAGCTTGCTCCAGCGTTCATTGAGCTCGGTTGGGGGGGTTTTAGTCCACGGGCCCCCAAGGGACACGGTTTTCCCCCTCAACAGCTTAGTCGCATGCCTTCTACAAAGCTACCACATGCCTGGGGCTCCTTGTTCTCGAGTTCTCACAGGGTTTCCTTGAAACTCCTAACCCAGATCTCCCCCCGCCTGTATGCCTGTGTGTCGTCTCAAGTTTTTGGGGTCCCTGTCTAAAGGGCTTTTTAGGGTTTAGGGTTTAGGATTTAGGATTTAGGGTGTGGTCCCTCCCGACCCCCCTTTCCCCTCCAAACGGGCCCCAATTACTCGAACCCCCCCCCTACAACCTGAACCCGGAGAACTACATGTCTACCATCAGCGCGAACATTCTACTCTAGCTTCCCATTTTTCGCATGCAGGAAAGCCTCAACGTAAAGTTGGTGGCGTCGTCCATCAAGCTGATCAAAGAGCCACTCGCTGGCTGTTGGCTGCTTCGTGCAGGGATTGAGATCTTGAGGTGTGGGGTTTCAGCTTTGGCTGCTTTGGGTTTGGGATGAGGGGTTCCATCCCTACTCTCAAAGCAGGGGTGCTCGACCTGGATGCAGTCTTCGAAAATTCCCAGCAAGGGGACTTCAACAAAAAGTTCAAGGGTCTCTTCTCAGACTAAGTTGGGATATTGGTTGGTTGTGGCCTTTATTTTGAAGGCTTTTGGGAGAGACCCGGTGCAGGTTCAGATACAAAGATGGCGAGGAGGGCGGCAACAGCGTGCCCCGGGAGTTTCGCACCCTGGCGGCTCCAGTTTTTGTTAAGGGTCTAAGCAAGCTACAATCTGCTTGCCTTGAGGAGCAACTAGGAGGTCCAGTGGTGCCCCTGAACCTCAAACCCTAAGCCCTAAACCCTAAACCCCAACTCCGACCCTAGGCACCCTCTAGCCTGGAGGTTTAGGGATTTAGGTCGGGATGTTCCTCCTTATACAGTCCTTAATGGGGATTATAGTACCCTCTATGACAAGCCCCAGTTCGTATAAGGGGGAAGATCCCAAAGTTAGGGTCTAGGGTACACCAAAGCTACACAAGCCGCAAACATCTGTGTGTGTGGCATCCTAAGACTTCAACCCAAGGGTTTAGGGGGGTTTAGGGGGGTTTAGGCGCTTTAGGGGGTTCAGGGCCGTTTAGGAGGTTTAGGGGGTTTAGGGGGTGATTTAGGGGGCTTAGGGGGTTCAGGGGATTCAAGGGGGGGTTGAGGGCGCAGATGCGGCTTCTGCTCAAGTCCAAAATCCCAGCAGACCTAGGACCGAGGCTCATCGACTTTACGAAACCCGACTCTGAACCCTCATGAAACCCCCAACCTCCAAAGCCCAAAGTCCAACCCCCCAAACCCTCAAGCCCTAAAACCCTAAAGCCCTAAAGCCCTAAAGCCCCAAAAGCCCAAAAGCCCAAAAGCCCAAACGCCCAAAAGCCCAAAGGCCCAAAGGCCCAAAGGCCTAAAAGCCCAAAAGCCTAAAGCCGAAACCCTAAACCCTAAGCCCTAAGCCCTAGACCTTAAACCCTAAACCTCTCTACCATATAACCCTAAATGTTAAACACGAATTGGAGAATTTGATCAATTTTCTTTTTTTGACACCCCATTGTTCAGCACGAATTGGAGAATTTGATCCATTTCGATCCCTCTTACCCCTCTACCCCCCCCCCCCCCCCCCCCCCCCCGTTCCACTTCGACCCCCCCGACCCCTTTGACCCCCCCATTGTTCGGCACGCATTGGAGAAATTGATCCATTTCGACCGCTCTCTGTCACCCTGTTCTTGTGACCTCTCTAACCCTCCATGGTTCAGCACGAATAAGAAATTAATAAACTTTCTATTGTCGTAATGTTATGGTTTTTTTTCGGCGGGTGGGTTTTGTTCCGTTGCCTACACACACTGCTGGCCTAGTAAACTCTCGAACTTGAGATGCTGAACACTAAACCCCAAACCCCAAACCCCAAACCCCAAACCCCAAACCCCAAACCCCAAACCCCAAACCCCAAACCCCAAACCCCAAACCCCAGACCCCAAACCCCAAACCCCAAACCCCAAACCCCAAACCCCAAACCCCAAACCCTAAACCCTAAACCCTAAACCCCAAACCCTAAACCCTAAACCCCTTGAGTCCGGCGGAGGAGAGCTCCCCGACGAGCACGACTGCTTCGACGAAGAGCTGCCGCCCGAAGAGCCAAGGAGAGTGGTTTAGCGGGGGGTTTAGGGTTTAGGGTTTAGGGTTTAGGGTTTAGGGTTTAGGGTTTAGGGAGAGTAGGGGTGGTGTGGGGGTGGTTTGGGAGGTTGGTTTAGGGGTTAGGCGCTGTTTTTTTTTTTTTCAGGTTTGAGAGGGTTTCGGGGTATAGGTCTTCGAAGGAATGAACTCCCAAATCAGAAGTTTTTCTGTAGAAAAACTTCCATCCTTTACATGCTGAGCAGGTTTAGGGCTCGGCCAGAACCCCTTCAACTATCCGTCGTTCCCTAAGTACCTGCTAGCCCGAAACCCTAAACCCTAAACCCTAAACCCTAAACCCTAAACCCTAAACCCTAAACCCTAAACCCTAAACCCTAAACCCTAAACCCTAAACCCTAAACCCTAAACCCTAAACCCCACGGAAGTTGGAAGGTTTCGGGGGTCTTTAGGGTTTCAGAAGGACCGAGGAGCCCACGGCTGTGCTGATAGAGGACATCACGCCTGGATACAGCGGCTCGACTGGCAAGAGGGGCGTTTAGGGTTTAGGGCTAGGGTTTAGGGTTTAGGGTTTAGGGTTTAGGGTTCAGGGTTTAGGGTTTAGGGTTTAGGGTTTGGGGGTTTAGGGTTCAGGGTTCAGGGTTTAGATTTAGGTTTTGGGGTTTTGGGAGGGCTAAGGGCTTAGAGTCTTTGACTTCAGAGGGGATTATCATGGTGTCTCGAAAGTCAAGGGTTGTGGCCCTGCTTCAGCCCTTCCGGCTTCGATTCTTTTTGTCCGGGGTTCTTAGGTCTTATGCGGGGATCTCAGCCAGGATAAAGATTTGCCCTCTGAGTCCCACCTGTAACCCACATAGCGCTGCGAATGTAGTCTAAGAAGTGTAGATGGCAGTTGAGGTCCAAGAAAAGTGCGCAGCCCTGAAAAGCCGGTTTTGAAGGTCTTATGTCGCTGTCGGCCATGTTGGCACAGCAAAGGGTCGTCTCCTGAACCCTCAACCTTAAAAGCCCCTCAACCATGAAATGATGAAGCTGCCGCCCGAACTCAGCCTGCGGATTTTCACAGCCACGTTTTCAGCTTCAAGCGAGGGTTTCCAGGCTCCCTCTGGTTTTGCATTTGACCCCCCCCCCCCCCAAGCCCTAAAGCCCTAAAGCCCTAAAGCCCTAAAGCCCTAAAGCCCCAAAGCCCTAAAGCCCTAAAGCCCTAAAGCCCTGAAGCCCTAAAGCCCTGAAGCCCTGAAGCCCTGAAGCCCTAGCTGGGGCTAACCCCAACGCCCTCAGCCCCAAAGCCTTAAAACACTAAAGCCCCCCCACCCCCCCGGCCATCCCCCAAAGCAACCAAGGCAAGCCGCCGGCGCTCAAAAAGGGCTTTCTCAACAGCGGCAAGGCAGACCTCTACGGCCCAGAAGGACTTCGGCTGACCTCCTGACCCTTAAGCCCCTAAATCCCTCAGCCCCTAAAGACCCCTAAACCCCAAAAGACCCCTAAAGCCCCAAACCACCTGCGCCCCTTAAAGCCCTAAACCCGCCATCTTGTGCCCCAAGTTAGGGGGATCTGGGCTTCTCAGGTAAATCCGAACCCGAAACCCTAAGCCCGAAACCCAAAACCCAAAACCCCAAACCCCAAACCCCATACCCCATACCCCAAACCCTAACCCCCCTCTCCCCCCGCCCCCCCATGCTGCCGGAGGATCCAAGGAGGGCGTCTTGCCCGAGAACGCCGGGGATCCGCTGGGCTACATCCCGAAAGGACCTCTTTTCCTGGGGCCGGGGGCCTAGCCTATACACTTTATTCCGCAAACACTAAGCCCTAAACCTTAAACCTTAAACCCCAAACCCTAAACCCAAAACCCAAAAAACCCTAAGCCCTAAACCCTGGAACTCTATACCCCAAACCCCAAACCCGAAACCTAGGCTTCTGGAGCACTTCTGTTCCCTCCCTGGACCCCCATCCATCCTTGGAGCTTCCCTGTGGCACGCCTCTTAGGGTCTAGGGGGTTTAGGGGGTTTAGGGTTTGGGGTTTGGGGTTTAGGGTTTAGGGTTTAGGGTTTAGGGTTCGCGGCTCCCTTCGGTTTTGGGGGCCTACGGAGATTTTCGGCGCTTCCGCAGGATAGTTCCTATGAAGGTAAATCCTAAACCCTAAACCCTAAACCCTAAACTCTAAACCCTAAACCCTAAACCCTAAACCCTGAACCCTGAACCCCAAACCCCAAACCCCAAGCCCCAAACCCTAAACCTAAACCAATCCCGGAATGCCAGGACTTCGCAAGCAGTGCAAGATTGTGGACACGGGGAGCCCTGAATATCAGGCCGTTCGTTTGTTTAGGGTTGAGGGTTGAGGGTTGAGGGTTGAGGGTTTAGGGTTTAGGGTTTAGGGTTTAGGGTTTAGGCCCCCTGACGATGCGGCAGAAGAACTCAGGCAGCTGCGGAATCGGCGTCGGACAGAGAAAGCTCGAGCGGTGAGAAGGCAGAAGGCAGCGGAAAGAAGAGTACTCAAAGGGGTCCAGCAGCAGTCAGCAGAACCAGAATGGAAGGCAGATTTGCAACCAAATCCACCGGTCTGCAAGCCCGGACGCAGCGCGAAGACTGACCGTGCATGGTGCTTACGACTTCTTGTGTCCTGGTTTATTAGCTTTACGTCAGCTCTTTGCGACGCCTTCAGGCAACGGACGGTTGAACAAGTTCTCAACATATGTGTGGTGGATGACACAAATGTTCGATTGAGTGAGACATTTGGCCCCCTGGCAAGTCAACTGCGCAGTTCACGAGTTGTCACTGTCATGAATATCGTGCAGACTGTCATCTTGCGGGACATTGGAGGTAGGGTTTAGGGTTTAGGGTTTAGGGTTTAGGGTTTAGGGTTTAGGGTTTAGGGTTTAGGGTTTAGGGTTTAGGGTTTAGGGTTTAGGGTTTAGGGTTTAGGGTTTAGGAGTTTATGGCTTGAGGGATGTTAGGGTTTTTGGGTTTAGAGGGGGTTTTGTGGGGTTGCTGGGAGTTTCCTCCGGGTTTGCCCATTTCTCAGTTTGAGCTGTGTTTTCTAAGTTGGGCGGGGCAGGTCTGTGAGGGTTTTGGGTGGGGTTAAGGCATGCCCTGCCGGGCCCACATGGACATGAAGAACTTGGGGCCCACTTTCTTAAATGCAGAAAACGCCGCCCTTCGTTCTCTGAACGCTAAACCCCAAACCATAAACCCCTAAACCCCTAAACCCCTAAACCCCTAAACCCCTAAACCCCTAAACCCCGAAACCCCTAAACCCCTAAACCCCTAAACCCCTGAACCCCTGAACCCCTGAACCCCTGAACCCCTGAACCCCTGAACCCCTAAACCCCTAAACCCCTAAACCCCTAAACCCCTAAACCCCTAAACCCCTAAGCCCCTACACCCCTAAACCCCTAAACCCCTAAACCCCTAAACCCCTAAACCCCTAAACCCCTAAACCCCTAAACCCCTAAACCCTAACCCCTAAACCCCTAAACCCCTACCCCCCTAACCCCCTAAATCCCTACACCCCTCAACCCTAAAGCCCTAAACCCTAAACCCCTAAACCCCTAAACCCCTATACCCCTAAACCCATATATAAGCCCCTCAACCCCTCAACCCCTCAACCCTTAGGGTTTGGGGTTTTGGGTTCAGGATGTAGGGTGGAATCATGCTACCAGAGTTCTTCTGGGCAGAGGCTTCGTGCGGAGGAGTGGGGTAAGGGGGTTTCGGCACCTGCACTACCAGCCCTCGACCTTAAACCCTGTCTTGAATCCCCAAACCCTAAACCCCCAAGGCCTAAACCCTAAATTCTAAACCTTAAAAGCCCAAAACCCAAGGGCTTCATAGAAGCGCGCCCTCCATGTGTCCGCGCTCGTGAGGCGCAGCAGCGCGAAAAAGAAGCGGCCGAAGAGACCAACCGTATGCAGCAGGCGCTCCCGTCTTTTCGCGGCTTGGGTTTGTAGGGTTGTTGGGGTAAGGGGTTTCTTTGGGTTGTTTGCTGGGTTCAGCTGTTTGTTAAGGGTTTCGTCTTTGGGACTTAGAGGGTTTAAGGCATTTTGGGGTTTAGGGCTATACAGGGTCGTAGGGCTGCAGGGTTAAAGGGTTTTGTGTTCAATTCGGGTTTGGGGTTTCGACCCCTGAGCCCTAAACCCTAAAACCTGAACCCGAAGCCATAAACCCGAAACCCGAAACCCGAAACCTAAACCCTAAACCCTAAACCCTAAACCCAAAACCCTAAGCCCTAAACCCTAAACCCTAAACCCTAAACCCTCAACCCTCAACCCTCAACCCTCAACCCTCACCCCTCAACCCTCAACCCTCAACCCTCAACCCTAATCCCTCAACCCGAAACCCGAAACCCTAGACCCTAAACCCTGAACCCTAAACCCTGAACCCTAAACCCGAAACCCTAAACCCGAAACCCGAAACCCTAAACCCTAAACCCTAAACCCTAAACCCTAAACCCTAAACCCTAAACCCTAAACCCTAAACCCTAAACCCTAAACCCTAAACCCTAAACGAACCCCTTGCATGGCAAGGAGTTTCGGGACTCCATCCTCGGCGACCTGGACAAGTGGACCAAGAAGACCGAGCACGATCGACGCCTGCCGAAAGTTGCAGCCCTAAGTCCTACCCCTAAACCCTAAACCCTAAACCCTAAACCCTAAACCCTAAACCCGAAACCCGAAACCCTAAACCCTAAACCCCAAGCCCTAAACCCTAAACCCTAAACCCTAAACCCTAAACCTTAACCCTGAACCCTGAACCCTAACCCCGTACATCGCAACCCTAAACCCTAAGTGAGCCTGCTTTTCGGCTCTCAAACACACGAGGATACCTATATTTGCGGGCCAATCCGGGTTGTCACGTTCAAGCTCGTGTTTGAAGGCTCCACTGCCACTTCGTGCAGGGCCCGTGTCTCTTTGCAGGCCTGCCCACTATACAGGGTTCAGGGTTCAGGGTTTAGGCTTTAGGGTTTAGGGTTTAGGGTTCAGGGTCTTCAACTTGCCCCCCCACCCCCCCCCCCTCAAACCTCTATGCAGGCGCCACCCCTTCTGAAACTCTAAATCTCACTCTTAACAAACCCAGAACTCCTGAATCCCTAAACCCTAAACCCTAAACCCTAAACCCTAAACCCTAAACACCCAAACCCCTGGCATTCTACCTTCCTCTACGGGAATCTCGGGGCCATACTAGGCGCACATTCAGGGAACCTCTTAGGGGTACATCCTTGGGGGTCCTAGTTCGACTCCCTTGGTGCACTCCCAGACTTAACGCCCGTAAGCTCTGAACTCCTGAACACCTAAGCCGTAAGCTCCTCACGCGAAACCCGAAAAATGAACCACCCCACACCTAAAACTAAACGTGTGCATTTCCCCAAAATAAAAGGGTACCCGTGCATATACCCTTCAAATACCTTATTATTATTATTATTGTTATCGGAACCCTCCCAAATGGAACAGCTCCGGAAACTCCGCCACACCTGAGGATGGGAGGCAGACCTCCCGGACGGGACGGAGCCGACGTCCACGTCGAAGTATGACAACGACTACTCCAGGTCCCGACCTGCTTATATAATCTTATATGGGGGGTTTGGGTGTTTGTTTAAGAATTAGGGTTTCGGGTTTTGGGGTTTTGAATTTTGGATTTAGGGGTTTAGGATTTCGGGCTTTGAGATTGGGGCATGCAGCATGCTCTACTATGTCATGTTGGAATGCTGAGGGTTCAGTGAGACGCTTGCGATCGCAAGTGCAGCAACAGCACACGACAAGCACCGCAGTGGTCAGAATCGCAGCAGCAAAAGACAACAGCACCGAGCCAACGCCGGGCGCATTTTCGGGGAGAGCCCGCAAATGCTGCACGCCGTGGCTTTAGTTTGCTCCTTGTCAGTCACGGACACGAAACAACCCCGAGCCCCTAGACCCTAAACCCTAAACCCTAAACCTTAAACCCTAAACCCGAAACCCTAAACCCTAATCTTAGACCTAAGGTTCCACGTTGCCAACTGACCAGCTGTGTTGGGTTCTGGCCGGTTGCCGCAAACAGCCGGGCGCAACTAGGGTTCAGGGTTTCGTGTTTAGGATGTGGGACCGGAGCCCTCCATCCGAATCCCTAAGCCCTAAACCCTAAGCCTCCAAAACCTAAACCCTAAACCCTAAACACTAAACCCTAAACCCTAAACCCCCAAACCCTAAACCCTAAACCCTAAACCCTAAACCCTAAACCCTAAACCCTAAACCCTAAACCCTAAACCCTAAACCCTAAA